GACTGGCCATTCCTTTACAGCCTTTACCTTTTCTGGGTCTGCTCGTACACCATGTGCTCCTACGATGCAGCCCAGTACAGGTATCTCGGGGACCCCTATTACGCACTTTTGCAAGTTCACGTATAATTGGGCGTCACCCAGAGTCTGCAACACAGCGTCTAAATGACGCTTGTGCGACTCTATCGCGCTCAGACCGTCCTCCGCCCTACTATGCACGAATACATCGTCAAAGTAATGGGGAGCGTAGGCACGGTGCTGATGCATCACGTGATCCACCACTCGGTTGAATGTTGCTGGAGCATTTTTTAACCCATGTGGAATCACAAGCCAATCCCACAGCATACCGCTTGGGGTGCTTACTGCCGTTTTGGCTCCATCGGTATCTCTCATGAGAACCTGATAGTAGCCATCCTTCAGATCCAACGCGGAAAAGATAGTTGACTTTCCCATGGAATTGAACAAAACATCTTTCCGCGGGATCGGCGTTTGAGCCGGAATGGTGGCCGTGTTCAGCTTATTTTAAGCATGAACCACGCGCCATCCACCCGTGGCTTTACGCACACAGAAGGTCGTGCTGCAGTGAGGCGACTTGCTCTCACGTACATGTCCCGCCTTAGATCGCTTGTCGAAGAACTCATCGATGTAATCGACTTTTTCCTTCGGCAACGGCCATTGACTGGTCACACAATACTTGGTGCCAGGTTCCAGTTCAATCTCGTGCCTGACGCCCCTCGGCCGGTAGGCGGCTCGGCACTTCTTCTGGAAACACATCACGGTGTTTCCACAGAACATCATAGAACGGGCTTTCCTTCATGGCATCCCAGCTTTGAGCAGCGACCGTTTCTTTTTGTCGGTCTCCAAGACGCTCTCATCCATTGTGGATGAAGAGCAACAGTTCACCACGTTCTCTTCTGGAACTGGTGCGACTATCTCGTGGATCTTTCCTTCCTTTAGTTCGGACAGGAATAGATCCCAAGTCATCTCCGAGAGATTTACTATCTCCTCGGCAGATGCCAAGACAAGTTGGAGCACCTCAACTGAGGATGCCTCCGGCATTTTGTCCTCGACGGCCTCGAACAACTCGTTCGTAGGTCCGTCCTCTTGGATCGAGACTGATCCAAGGGCCACTCGTTTTGACGTGCCCTTGACCAGGTTAATACGTCTGGTGCTCGTTGTTCGAGTCAGCACGACCTATGACCTGGAAGAAGGTGTCGTTGCTGTATTATCCAACGCACCCCTCCCAACTGCACCAGGCTCATGGCTCTGTGCCGGTTCTGGTGGCGCTTTACTTCCTGTCAGCCCACCATCACCTACCACAGGCTCTCGGCTCTGCGCAGGACTATTGGACGCATTACTACCTGTCATCGCCCCATTCACTACACCAGTCTCCTCGGGCTGGGTAGGAATATGTGTAACCTGGCTTTCTGCCAGGGCACTTCCAACTACACCACTCTTTTCAAGCTGGGTGGTTCCTGGTGCCGATTGACATACCTTCATCACACCCTCGACTTTGTTGGACACATCATCAGCCACATAAGCCTCTCGCAAGAGAACATCCTTTCCGGTGTCTTGCGTAGAACTAGCGACTGTGCGTGTACGCCAGTCTATCCATGGCTGGTGTTTAGCCAACCAAGGCATGCCAAGAATGAGGTCATACGGACTTTCCACACCTAGCACTGTGAACTTCTCTTTACAAGAGAAGTCACTAAAGTTGAAGGCGAGTTCAACTTTAACTCCCTCCGATTTAACGATCGCGCCGTTCGCTAAACGAACGATCGCCTCTTCTCGCTTGTCATCATGGCAAAGCGACTCATAACTCGCCGGTCTCTTTTTCAGAGCCGCGAGTTTCACAAAGTTTTGTGATGCACCCGAATCCACGAGAAGGGTCATCACTTGGTCTTAACCTTGTACTCGAGCGCTATAGACCAAAAGGTTTGAGGTCCGACCTTTCGGAACCTCAGGGACTATGCTACCCATTTGTTCGATCGCTCTGAACTTAGAGGTAGCTTCAGAGTCCGCGACAGTAGGGCATCCCGCCCCTACTGCGCTCCCGCATTTCCCGACCCATCTTGGGCAGGTGCTGAACCGTGCGTCGTGCACGCTGGTTTTTCGCACCTCCCTTCGGGTTAAGAGACTTCTTGCGGGCTGCCTTAGCACCAGCAGTACTTTGGCATAGCAGCGATCCATCATATGGCTGCGCTTGCCGCACTTGTAGCAGACGACGTCTGCATTGCCTAACTCCATAGGAGTGGCATCAGACCTTTCGGACGACGGCCTGTAACAGGCTGTCGGCGAGGCGCTGTTGTAGGATTGCTCCTCAACTAAGGCAATATCAATTGCCTCTTCCATCGTATTTGGCACCTTTCTAAAAAGGGCCTGACGCGATGGGCAGTGCCCAAGTCCATTCATGAACGTGGCCACCTTAATCTGTTCCGGTATCGGTTCCCCATTAATGGACGCCGACAGCGAACGCATCTCCTGCACAAATTCTTGCAGAGAGCGTTTCGCCTGTCGTGCTCCAAAAAAGCGCGCCATAAGCAACAATTCGTTGTTAGGTGGCTGAGAAATGGCGCGAATCTTTGACTTTAAGATCGTTCATGATGGAAATGCATCAGCATTTGACATCAGCGCGGAGTACGCCCACTCTGACGCTTTGCCACGCAAATTGGACATGGCATACGACATCATCCTGGTGTCGTTTTCGATGAGCTGCGCCACTCCACATTGCTTAACTGCTAATAGACAGTGAACAACCGTGTGAGGGGTAGTTCCATCAAACTTCGGAGGGTCCATCCGAATGGGCCTCGGTTGAGTAGGCCGGGCAGAGAGTGTGGAGAAGTGCCAGAGAAATGGGGCCTTCGTAGTTATTATAATAACTGGCGTAAAAGATCTCGGTCAATCTCTTGAATAAGTGACAGGGAGTGACCAGGGCCCCGAACTGGTCCAAGGTCCCGAGTTTGGAGAAGGCACCATGATGTCCTACACAACATACCAAAGGACCAGTGCTGCTGGGGCAGCTTAGGTTGACCCGAGGTAACAGGTGGACCCCAGGCGACAGGTGGACCTAGGTGACCAGTGGACCTAGATGACTGGTGGACCCTAGGCGACAGGTGGATCCAGGCGACAGGTGACCCCAGACAACAGGTGGACCCCAGACAACAGGTGTACCCTAGGTGACAGGTGGACCCCAGGTGACAGGTGGACCCCAGGTGACGGGTGGACCCAGGTGACCGGTGGACCTAGTTGACCGGTGGACCCCAGACAACAGGTGGACCCCAGGTGCCAGGTGGACCCCAGGTGACAGGTGGATTCCATGTGACAAGTGGACTCCTGGTTATAGAAGGTACAAGGCTTCCTTAAAGTGCAGAGCCGGTACAAGTCCTATGTCCTAAAAGATTTAGTTGTTCGTCCACAAGTTAACACGTGGTACCATCTAGAGCGAAGGGTTAAGGTTAGGCAAGAAAAGCATACAGAGAATAAGATAAATAAACACACTCGAATTTGCATTACACGTGGCAGTTTTAAGCGCCCCTTCCAAGCTTCTCCGTCGCCTCACCTCTTCCAGGCGGGATACCCTTTGGCCCCCCAACGTCAGCAGGTGTTATACGGCTCAAGCTACGCAAGTTGAACCTCAGGATAGTTGGCCTGAGGTGTCAAGTAAGTGTCAAGACTCTACGACCCGCTATAGGAAGCGGTTTCCCTACGGGGAAGAACACAAAGGGGTCCAAGGACCAAGAACAGTCATCCACCAAAGGGGTACATAGTACCAGGTGCACTGCTCTCGACTAAGTCGATTGAGCACAAGAAACCCGGTCCCAAGTAAAGTATATCCACTCGGGGACCACCAAGTCCAAGTCTTATACAAAGACCAAGTCTTTAAGTCTTCTGCGTCAACGGAGGAGCAAGACCAGCCAAGCCGACGGGTACACAAGGTGAGACCCAAGGTTTACACGACACGGTATCGAGGAACCCCCTCCGTAAGTCGGCAGTCCGACGCTGTGTGTGTTTGTGTATCTCCTACGTTGTTTGATAATCCACTCCACCACAAGAGCGTCTCAACTTATCTGTTGAGCGCCTCATTACGTGCCTGCTCAAGCATAAGCTCATTTTGAGTCTTATTGATGGACGCAGACGTAGATTGGCTGTTTACCTCGGACGCGTTTCTACGCTGTCCGAGCACAAGCGCCTAAAATTGCTTCAACTGAGCAACATGTTTCTCAGGAGGACAATGCAAGAGGTTGGACAGGGCTTGTTCACCAAGTCCCTGCGCCATATGCTCTGCCAACTCCCTATGGTGTTTGTAGAGGTGAGGGAAGTCATTCCAGTCCATATTAAGGACCATCTTAACCACACGCACTCTCAGAGAGATAGGTCGTGGGAAGGACAACTAGTGCTACCAAGCGTAGACGGGCACTTCTACGAAGTTGCCTCGTGCTACTTAGCACACACCTGCAGCAAAAGCGAAGAAGCAGTTAGACTGTCTTACCTTCGCGTGCGAGGGTGGTTGTGTGGTTGGTCGCATGCTATGCAGTCTTACCACCAGTTGCCTTTCGCTTAAGCGAGAGTGCAAAAAACTTCTAAACAAGAAGACACTGACGCCATGCAGAAGCTTTTTCAGCTTCTCGTGCGTGATGCTTTCGATTTAGCAAATTCAAGACTGAGCTATATTTACTGAATTATGATTAAAGATAAACTTAACTACTGATTGGCTGATTATATAATGATCGGATACGCTACTCATTAATAGCGTATCCGGTCTTATGAACTTAAATCTAGATTTAAGATCGCAACTGACGTCCTTCTGAGACGTTGCGATGCCTAGCTTCAACTAGCGTCATTTCTTCCCATGTGAATCCATCAATCATATTTAAGTTGACGAGAGGGAATCACGTTTGTGTATCGCACCCAAGTGACAGGTCAAAAGTTATCATGGATACTTTCAGACCTTACATTAAGTATATTACTTAATGTTTACGTGTAACTAGATACCCTGTTACAATTTACGATCTCGCAAGACCTATGACTTCCTTGACTTCCTTCATCGTTATGGCAGCTAGCTCTGACGCTTGTGCTGCACCGTGTGCCAGCACTTTATCGATATATCCTTGGTCTCCATTGTATTGCTTGATACGTTCTCCTATAGGGCAAATTCTGTTATGGAAACAACGTAAGCTATACCATCAGCAAATTGACCCTCAGAAACAACTGAAACGTACTTTGCAATGACTGCGTCGGCCACACTGTCCTTGAAAGTGCCTGTGCTATAATTTGCGTATTGTGCCTCAAGCTGCACGACACTTTGGCCCGTGACTGCGCTAAAAATGTCGAGTAAGTTGGATACGCCTGGTCTCTCTTTCCGGTCGTAGCAAATGCCACTCACCGCATCCGTGGTGGCCTTACGCATCTTCTTGCGGATATCATCGGCTGTGTCTGTCAGTTCAATGCGACTCAGCACTGACTTGTCGCTCTTGCTCATTTTCTTGGTCGGGTCCCGCAAACTCATGATGCGTGAGAGCGATTTCCTCTTAGTGCCAGCAAGCGTCGTGATATCGTCTTCCACAATTGGAAACGGCTTTGTTAGTACTTCTTTCCCTCCAACACGGTTGGATGCAAAGCGGTCGTTGAACGTCATTGCGATCTTCCGCGTAAGTTCCAAGTGTTGCTGCTGATCTTCACCCACAGGTACGTGAGTTGCACGGTACAGCAGAATATCCGCGGCCATGAGCACCGGATACGCTAGCAATCCCAATGAGCTCTCAGTTCTAGCCGACGCTGTCTTCTGCTTGAACTGTGTCATGCGTTGCAGCCACCCGAGTGGTGTGATACAGCTTAGCAGCCACGCAAGCTCGGCGTGCGCTGCCACGTCAGACTGTCGGAACAAAATATTACAACTCGGGTCAAGTCCAGCACCAAGAAGTGCCGCCACCATAGAATGCACTTGACTGGGCATGCGCTGAGCGTCAAAGGTCACAGTCAAGGCGTGCAGGTCCACGACCGAGTATAGTCGAGTCCACGGTGCGTCATCACGTGAGGTTGGTGACGTCAACATGTCACTTTCTGAAAGTCCATCTCCCCTACGTGGTGGCTGTTGAAGAGCCACCCATTTGGCAATTGCACCACAATAATTGCCCAGATGGGGCGTGCCAGTGGGCTGGATTCCCGAAAATACACGAAAGTCGCCATTGTGCACGTCACTACTGGATCTGGTCGAGAGGCAGCGCCGCCAGCCAGTCAAAACGACGGCAAGTGAGTTGTGAGGTGAAACTCTGGAGTCTAAAATTGAAGCCTTCGTTAGTGAACGTGCATTTGGTGATCGCCAGATCAGCTGTGTCGCCATAATGACCGAAACGTGCGGACAGAGACTGTCTTGCTGTAACTGAATCTGATTGGTACTTTTTAAAACGATGAAATGATATATACTTTATATGGAAGAAAAACTTTAGATTGGAGAGCTTCGCGATATACATATACTAAAATATGCTACAATTCGTCGTTACTTACATGTAACTCAATCTGTGGTGCTTCCCTGTCCTCCTCACTCGACAGTTGCCTCCAAGCAGTAAAAACCGTGGTGCATCTATTCACAAGCGACTCTATGGATCACCTAATTGTGGAAAGTCAAGATAGTGTTTTGGTGAAGTCGATGTTGTGGTTTCTGCATCTGAGAAATGTTTAATTTGTGAATATTTGCGTATTGCATGAGACAACGTCGCGACAAAGTTATCGCGCCGTAAGAAAGAATTTGCTATATTACGCGTATGCGCTGCATATGAAGCCCTTAGCTGCAGGCAATCTTCAGTTCAACGATAAGAGCATGGCAAGAATTCAGTATGTAAGAGTTGCTCCGGCGTCTCCATACTGCGATAGCTCCAGGGTAGAAGAGACGTAAAAGTCCTACCCGAAACCACCATCGTCCATGAATAATTTATTCGATTTTTCGATGCGCGAAGCTGGACTCACGTAGAAGCATGACGTGTGTCTCAGGGACCTCTTTTTTTAAATGGTGTTCCCAAGAAAGAGTTGCGCATGAAAGAGGTCAGCGACATGAACTGTCCACGTAAACATCAATTTTGCACGAACAAATGAAGGCATGTGATGCCATCAATTGATGAGTTGGTGAGTTGTAGTTTGCTCTTAAGCAAGCGGAGGTGACCTCTTTAGCCCTTGGACAGCAGGGATAGCGAAAGTTAGCTTGGCGTGCAACATGAATACAACTAATTTGTCATGTTGCACGCTAAGTTGTGTGTCCGCGACGATCGTATGTAATCCGACCGCTTGTGCAGCCGAGCCTTAACAAAACTAGCGCAAGTTGAACTCGCTTCATCTGCTGGTCACCCATTCACCACCCCTGACAAGAAGAGCCCACCGGAATTGCTTCATTTGCATGTATAAGCAGCAAAACGACAAAAGGATTTAAACTGTGGTCAGACACGAGATTTTGGTGACAATCAAACAGGGCGTTCGCGTCGCAAACTGCCACGTGTGCCAGTTTAGAAATTTATAACGACGCTGACGATCAGATACGCCGCTCGCTGCGCAAACATGCTACGCATCGCATGCCAATGTAAACATAGAAATGCGTTTCAATGGCTACATTCTTCTTGTATTACATGCAATTTCTTTACGTCATGAGCAATGCGCACGTATTAAGCAGTTGTTGCTACGTGTACGTCGGCGCACATTCATCCCTGGTTCGTACCACGCACGCAAGTTAGTCGTGATGGCACGTCGGTGGGCCAGCCAGTGGCAGCCAACAACTGCCAACAACTGCAAACAGCGCTACAAAGGCAACGAGAGCGACTACTGACGGTGCAGAAGAATAGGCCGCCTATCCGAAGTTTAGATCCCGATGCTACACTTTTACAGTGTCGATGTAGGGAGATGCTGTACCAACTTCAAGGCATGTCGCTGGTCTTCAAAAATCAGAATTTGTGGCAGCGAGCGTCGTGCGTCGACCGACGTCTTGCACGTTGCACCCGCGGACCAAAGACGACTTATTGGTGTTTCCTAGCAATTACACAGCCCGACGATCGTTTGGTTTGGTCCCACTGCGGCGTTTAACGTCTTGAAACCCTTTAATAGCATCAAAAAGCAGTAAAAAATGTTGCTTGATGAGTCATTGTTGGATCTCGGTGAGGCATTATTTCTACCTTCATCGCAGCTACCATCCAGCTGACGCCTGTATTGCCAAGTAGCGTGTGGCAGATGATGTGGAAACATCATCAAGCCGGTGTTATTTTTGCTGCTGTTTGTGGCAAAATCGTCCGTGCCACGTATCGTAATATGTACCCCACCACCTGGCGCGGGATCATTCGTTCACAGCAGCTGGTGCTCGGTCAGAGCGTCGTGATGTCATGGCAGACCTAAATCTAAGTAATCAGCTTTTTGCTAACCGTGGCCATGATTATAGCGGCTACCGTGTTGCTTCGCAATTATCGGCATATGGCGCATCATCACCTGCATCAAGCCTCCCAATGCCATGGGTTTGACAACAAATATGCAGCCTTGAAAGCGCCTGTTGTCCAAGCAGCTCTGACGGGCGCAATGTCCACACACTTACAAGTGTGTATAGAATACTGGGCGATTTCATGCGCGTTCTGCAAGTGCACCCACTTAGAACTACTGATTACGATCGACGTCGCCATTGAGCAAACAAAAATTTTAGCCAGCGAATAACAATGTAGGAAGGTAGGTAGACGAAGCCATGTCTCGACGACAAGCTTGGGCTAAAATACCGTTTTTCCGACATGCCGTTGCCAAGGTTTTCAATATGATGGTTCATTTATTACGGTAAAAACATAGTATATATCCGAAAGCCGTGTCGCTATATTTTTTAAGTTCGCAGCAATTGCAGCAGAATACCGAACCTTTTTCTCCTGCCAGTGCGCACGCGCAACTCCAATCCGCGCACGCGCAAGTCCAATCCGCGCACGTATGAAATGTCGCCATTGCCATTTTGGTTTTTTTTGCTGGGCGCGACAGGTTTAGGAGCTTGTTTTAGCTTGGAATCCATCGGGGTTGGGGTAATCAAAAAAGCACGCACCGTCTGACGTGTGGACGTTTACGACGATTCGACGACAGGTGGGTGGTTAGTGGCCGGCGCTTCTGCTTAAAAGCTTTCCCGACTCCAACTCACATCGCAATTTGCCGTCTATCGATCCAAGCTTCGCCGTTACAATAATTTCCATACACATACGCTCGACATCTTCAGTATGCCCAAGTCCACTCACTACTCGGAAGGCCCCGTTATGGATGACCACGCCGCGATGAAGAAACAATGGCAGACTAATCTAGAGATCGACTTGCTCAAGAATGCTTGGATCCGCAAGGACCGGGAGCAACACGGTGCCCACACGACGCCGCCGCTCTCAGCCGCTAAGTGATTGAGTAACAATAGTGTCAGAAGTGAGATGCAGCAGCATCTATCAGTGAAGAGCCCCGAACAACGGAGGGTGCACTTTTATAGACGTTGTCGGAGGTGACGCACGAGGAGGAACCAAGTTAATGGCCGCTTGCTGATGGGTGCTGAGCGGCTTGAAACTCGCGGAGAGTTGCCCTGATTTAGAGAAGCGGAATGCCAGAAGCGCGTACGTCGTGGAGTCTGCTTGGGGATATTTAGCACACCATGATATAAATTATACAAACTACATATTGAGCTACACACACCAGTGGGAGTATTTCGTTCTTGTCGTAAATAAGTTGAATAGACATCTTTGTTGTAACTGAATCGGTTATATTTGTTTTCTACGTTGCTTAAGTGCCGGTAGACTCATTAACTTACGGTTGCTAATGGCAACTTGCCGTTCCTCGCAACTTCAGCGCAAGCGCTTTGCAAAAGCGACATGAAGAGGTGTCTCTCGCTTTCAATAAAGGGCGCAGCAAATAGCGGCGTGATCTAGTTTCAAGTTAAACTGGTGGCTGTGGGGCCGTTTGCATACTACATCAGTCTGTTGTGTAGCATTATGCTCTGGAGCTATCGGAAATTATCAATCAACGTGATGGACCCATGCTGCTCAAGTATTGCAAGTCCCAAGTTGGCACGGCTTTAGATAGTTAAGAATCCGGCGTCTCTTTTGGTTTCCAAGCTTTTGTTGTCCAACGTTGGGCTACACTACAAAGCGATCCGTCTTGCTTTAGAGATCGAGCAAGCATACATGTATTTGCTGACGATTTATGCGTATAACATCCACTTAACCCGGCATTGGGGGTGCTGGCCCCATCACATAGAAAAGATGGACAGAGTCTGTAAAATCGTAGTGTTTTCTGAACTTTATGTACACGCGACGAAAGAGAAGTCACAAGGCTTGCTGTTATTTTGGAAACAATATTTGTGGATTATCGGGACCTGTTGCAATGGAAGGTTGGTTGTGCTCATGATAGGCTTTACGTGTAGTTTATTATAGATCGGTACTTCCAAGTGTCGTGTTGGAAGCGGTTAAGTGTTAATGCATGCACATGTAGCGGTATTTATAGTTCTATTGCTCTACTTTTAAATTTCTTCAACTTGCTGTGCAATACTAAGCTTGCAAGTCTTCATATTGAAAAGCTCAGGAGTCACATTGTAAATTTCTGACGAACAGGGTTGTTAGGACAGTCTTTGCAAGACGGCATACTTTACAATCCTCTACGCAGATATTGTCGTCCAGTCTACTTCGGAGCATTGTATACAAATATGTTGGCTTGCCACCCCGACGTTGTCTTGTAAACGCACTGAACCAAACAAAAAAGCCTGCTGAGTAAGCCTAGGCGTCGTCGATGTCAGCATCACTGTCCGCAATCATGGTCGTAACGTCGTCACCACGACTGTCCACCCACCAGTGAAGGCAGCCAACCAACAGCACTGCCATGTTATTTGTCGCCGTTTGGCTAGTCAGGATATCGCCTTAACACAAGGCACGATGCGGTGCTCGAGCATGTTGAGTAGCCCATCCTTGTCCGAGACGTGTTTTGCTCGTAGCGTGCAGCGAAAAAAACACTTGCATCTTATAACTTGTACGTTTCATTTGCCGTGTTGAAGTGCACATCGAGCTAGATGGCTCCACAAATTCCGTTGCGGTTTTATGATCTGCATAAATTGACACTGCGCACGTGCGCCACAGAGCAGATCGAGGCACAAATTTTAAATAAATTTTCGCTTACGCACAATCTCAGCATTCGATAGCCTTACAACAGGACACAGGATTCAAAAGACGCAGCCCGAACGGGTTCGGTAGGAAAAGCCTGCCATCGGAACATTGGCCGCACATAGTTGGCTGGAAACTGGAGATGGATAACGGCGGAAGTCAGCAATGGCATTGCGCTCGTCGAAGAATCAGCAGCGATGACTGCTCTCATCTTCTGCGGCACCAGACCAGAGATAGATAAAACCGGGCGACTCGTCAATAATTCACATCCAGTCTCTCTAAAGGCGCTGGACGAGCCACCACAAATTTTGGCCTAGTGCTTTTTTGAATGGACAAATGTCACGACATGCAGTGATCACATGCCGCCAAGAATGCTGCCACGTTCTGGTAGAGATTGGTTGGTAATGTTCATGCATTACCAAGTGGGAGCTCAGTAGAATTGCTCTCAAAGCCTCAAGTAATGATTGAATCTTTAGTTTAACGCGCACGAGGCTCGTTTATCGTGGCAAGAGTTATTCAAGTAGATTGGCCCTTTTACCAGCACGGCGGAAATTTGCTTGGCTAAGAAGTTGTCGTGTTGACACACTAGGAACAATCCTCTTGGAGCTCCAGGAGCTTCAGGAGCCAATCCGTCACGCCGTCAAGCACAGCAAAGGAGAAGGGCTGGGCTGGCTGCGCGTGAGCCTCAGCTCAACTCGCTCAAAGCACAATTTGCACTCAGCGACACACGTGACTATATCTCAGTTCACTAGGCTCGAATAGAATGCCCCCCAAGCCTACGACGAAAGAGGCCGAGGACGCGCAGAAGCAGCGTCAGACAAACCTCGAGATCGATCTACTTAAGAGCGCTTGGATCCAAAAGGACCGCGAATCACCCCCAAGCAACGGCAAGAAATAACCTACATCCGGCGTGGCGAGGAGGAAGGCGATCGAGCTATCAGTCATATATGCGTCGAAAGGCAATGATTGCAATCGCACTAATATCATTGGAGCCTTGGCTTCGAACGCAGGGGCAAGCAGAGACCAAGACAAGCAGACGCACGTACAGGCAGCTGGGCAGCTTCATGGACTACATTACTATCAGCGTCTCCTTCTCTGTCATCGTGCTTGACCGAGAAACCACATTAACCAACCAACCCCACCCAACTATCTATTCAAGTTGACAGAATGTTAGAGCGCGCCAAGTAGGATTACCTGTTAGAAGGCGTGATAAGTTATACGCAGTTAATCAATGTCATCGACTGTCGAAAATACCTGATTTTTCCTGTCCGAGCTAATCCTATTCAATGCTGTGTATGAACAGGTATGTACGTTAGAAAACCGCGCGAAGTCGATGCTAGCGTCCTAAATCTTGTCCGAACGGAGATAAAAGTCACCAAAGGTCTATGTCGCAGAAGAATAGTAGATAAGTCCAGGAAAGACAAGCTTATTCAAGAGCTGCTGGCCACGGCAGCCTTTGAAGGCAACATAGTGTAATTACTTATTGCCGACCTTAACTCAAGAAGCCGCGATGCAGACTCTTCTATAGTCCACTCTGCCTTTCTGATGTTTTGCTACATGCCTCGATAACGGAGTGAAGGGTGATCGTCGGAACTCACATGATGTGCCACTGCCCGCCTAAGTTCTTTTCATTTTTAAGCCATGCTTTGCTTTGCTATTTGTACGTTCGTGTGCATGCCAATACTCTATTCGGTTCAACAACGCAGGCTTGTACTCGAGTTCAGTGTGCAATCTCTACAAGAAACCAGCACGCGTTCACGCCAGAGAGCTGCAATGTTTCTAGAGCTGTGTTCAAGACCATTCAATAAGAAAGTACCGGTACCTTCTCATTAATCGAACCTCGGGTTTCATGCAGCACCATCGAATTCCAGGCGTAGATAAATTTCAGCAGTCGGCACGAATTAATAGGAAGGGGCAAGCCGTATGGTAGACGGTACCCCGACTGAGCTTACAGGAAGTGCCTCCAGTACTAGCGTGTAGCAGAAGGATAACGCGAGAAGCTTCTCGTTACTTTCCTGTTGTGCCAGATCGTTGTTCTACTTTGAACGCCTTTTTCCTCCATAATGGACCTTGAACATCTGCCGACATGGAACGCAAAGGTGCAGCTAGGAAGCCGTGAAGTGGTTGGCTTTTTGAGCAGTCGTCCATTGTATTTTTACCTAGATTATGCAACAACTCGCGCCTGTCCAAAGTCACATTAGGTTGAAGTTGTCTGCATGTCGAGCTCTATTCCTTCGATAATTACAGTAAACTTTCTTAGCAATAATACAACGACACTTCCCGATTTGGGCTACAAGCAACAACAGTCAAGTGACAAAGTCCTACAACGAGCCGTCATGCGGATCCTCTTACCTTGTGTGGGAAGTCCCCCATCATGAAGCCAATGTTAAAAGGGAAAGACATTCTCTCCGCCTTCTATTCGCTGCGTGTCGCGGGAGGCTGCGCAGCGAGTGAGCCTGACGGGGAGCAATAGGCACGAGTCCCGAGGTGTCGGGCATGTCGACGAAGCATCGAACACCCTTCATTCCAGGCATTACCAAGTTCCTGCCCTTGTCCGTATCACCTTCTAGTCGCCGGTCCATTCGTCGAGCGCGACTTCCGGTCCCACGAAGCGAACTCCCCTAGAACGTGATTCCGACCGGAGCTGCTTGTCAGGGATCAGTCTGGCTGGCCCGTCTGGGACAGCCGGTTTGGTACCCGGCCTCACTTTCAAAGCATCATCTGCCCCTTGCATGTACTCGAATTTGCTCAAACAGTCTTACGTGTTCTATTGGAATGTCCCGCATGAAGCCCATCGGGTTGAGCTAGCAGATTTAGCTAGTGTCTAGGAGAACGACGTGGTCATGGCAGAAGATCAGAGAATTTTTCCTCTCAGACGTATCTTAAATAATCATTACAGACATTCTGATCGATGGCAATGAGGCTTACTTGTCGCATGAAATTTGCGTGGCGCAGCATAGAAGCCAGGATGTGCATACTGTCGCTACTGTAGTCTTTTTATGATGCGTCATTTTCTCCGTTTCGATTTTTTGCAACAGTCAGGCTTCGTCTAACGCCGTCGCTCCGTCGACGCGCACTTTAGACAAACGGGCCACTCGAGCGGCTTATAAGGACGTAAACAACGGTACACGTTTGCTGCTATGCTACATTAGCACAGCCGGACAATATGATAGCGTTCATGCAAGTGGCCAGCCTCGTATATCACCCGAGCACCGGCATTGCTAACCATGTGTAGGAACAACCAGACATTCTGCAACTTCTATACAGTGAAATAAACTCTTTCACTCTATCGGAGGCTGCAGCTTACCGCTTACCATCATGTTGGTACCTCATTCGCGCCGTCGCGTAATGTTGACGATAGTAAGTATTTGCTGGTACCTCGCACGTATGTGGCGCGTGGGCGCCTCGTCTGGCAGACTTGGTCTACATGCAGTTTACTTGAAAGTCGGCAGACATGTGGTCTAATAAGCAGACGATGACTTGCAATTTTGTAGCAAGCAACTGGTATGCCTTGCCTTAACTGATACCTTTCGTAGCTGCTACATAATCCCGTCCAGACCATGACCCCATACAGTATTTTTATTAGCCTAAAGTAAAACTGCCTAATCGGGTAACTTGTCTTAGCTGATACATTACAAGAGTATCACTTTGGGCAAGTTATCCTGTCACGAGCTCGCTCAGTCTTGTCAGAATGCGGTCTTGTGTTATCTTGGAGATGCTACGTCATAAAGACAAAGCACCACAACATTGCGACTGCAATACGTACAGTATATCCACACGCGAATTGCAGCTCTTCGTTAAGCCACATACACATTGGCGCTTTTACTTACAATCACGACATTAGTCACACAACCTTTGCATTCATCACACCTTCCTTTTGACAAGCTGCTGATAAACCAACCTGGCCTGTTGTTGTTGGATGTCCTAGAATTCTAAGTCAATTCTTCCGGGTGAGATTGTGCGTGCAATATTCATCGACGAAACCTTTAGCTCTAGCTAATAGTGTATAACTAATCCCATCTCCATGACGTCGTCAAGGGCTTGCCAGAAAAATAGTTAGACGCTTCTTTCTGCTTTCTTTACATTACGCAATTGTATCGAAAGCTCCTATAAAGATTTTAGTAAGGATAAATAACAACACAATACGTCGGGAATATAGGTTAGCAGTATTGAAGGCATTACTGCAAACCTGAAGGTGATGCTTAGATATTGGGGCATGTATATGATAGATCCGAAACCACACGGAATGGTGACACCTTACGACGCTTTCTTTCTATCGTCTGCAAGCTCATACTTCGTAATCAGCACAAGCAACTTTTTAACTGTGGGTCGTTCTCTCAGAAAGACGTAGGGTCATTTACTGCAAGCTTCCTATGGTAATTATACACCGTCTAAACGTAGAACACGTAGCAGTCTTTGTGCAGTGGATTATTTGTCCACATTCTACTGCTCGCGTTGGACAAAGTCCATGGCCGCCCAACAGTACACACATACCTAGCCATATATTCTAAGCTGAACGTTAAAAAGCTGCAGATTGGGGGTCATAGGTTCCTATTTAGACATGTTAAGACACGGATTGTTGTTGTGGTCACGGTTTCGAGAGCATCCTCAGCTTTCGCATTGATTTCATGGCTTGTTATTGTAGCTTTTAGATCTTTTCTAGTCGCGAATCATACACGATGGTGCAATGAGGGGGGGGGGGCTATCTAATCGCCGTTGGACGCTAATTGGAGCTTGGCTTTTGTGGAATTGCCAAAGGTTTATGCTTTAAGTTAGTAGCTGAGACTTTCATCCATCAAGTCCCCCATGTTTCGTGTCCATCATCTCTGTTTATACGTCACCGGTATCCGTTCATCATCGCGATGGTTTCATTCTCACTCAAGTAGTTGTGCAAAGCCTTCTGCACTTTATGACGCACTGGTGAAGAGTGGAAGTCTCGTGTTTGATGCTAAACAGGCTGCAATCATCCGACAGCTCCTGGACAAATTACATTCTCGATTGAATGGCTACGAATTACCCGTTTTACAGCCTCCTACTCACGAGAATACATCGGATACGGGAGCAAATGTGGAAAAGAAACAGCCGGTGAGGGTTCCTCGAGGGTTGTACGTCCACGGAGGCGTCGGAACGGGCAAGTCGATGCTGCTGGATTTGTTCTTTCGTGGAGCCATTGTACAACGTAAACGACGCGTGCATTTCAATGAATTTATGCTCGAAGTGCAAAGCCGACTGGCTCAAGAAAAGGAAAAGCACTTGGAACGTTATGGTAGACAGAGACATATTATCTTGGACGAAAGTCGAGATGTGGTGTTGCAAGTGGCCCATGCTATTGCTGAAGAAAGTCATCTGCTGTGCTTTGATGAGTTTCAAGTTACAGATGTAGCAGATGCACTCATTATGAGGAAACTCTTTGGCGTGTTCTTTGCACGCGGTGTGGTGATGGTTGCAACGTCGAATACTCCACCACAGGTAAGCTGTATACAGGTTGTAAAAAGGTTTTGGGCCGTAAGATGACGATGTGAATGTGAGGATCATAGGACTTGTATATGGATGGCACAAATCGCGAGTATTTCATGCCATTCCTTGACCAGCTTGCGAAACACACGATTGAGGTGCCGATGAACTCGGACGTGGACTATCGCTATCTATGCGAGAGTGTGAATAGCGAAGAAAACTTTCTGTCGCCACTTTCAGTCGCTACAGAACAAAAGATGGACAAGTTGTATCGAGATCTACTGGCGGGTAATGACGATAGTTTGGTTTGGAAGAATGATAAGATTCAGGACGAGCTGTTACGCGTGCCAGTGATGATGGGACGTACACTGGACATTCGTGGTAGAGTCGAGAGTGGTGTATGTCGCGCGTCATTTCGTTCATTGTGCGATAGTGAAAAGGGCGCGGCGGATTACAAGATGATAGCAGAGTGCTTCCATACTTTGGTGCTTGACAACGTACCAGTTCTGGGCATGTCACAGCACGATCAAGTGCGGCGATTTATCGTGCTCGTGGACGAATTGTACGAGCATCGGACACGACTTGTGGTATCGTCTGAAGCTGCAGAGCCTCGTGGTATATTTTTGTTTGATGATGAAAGCGTCCAGGCAGCGTCAGAAGGCGCCACCAGCTCTTCTGCTATAAAGGAGGAGAAGCAGCGTGTGAATAAAGAGAACGCAGCAGTTGGCGTCCCAACGACTAGCTCGTGGGATTCTCCTGTCGGTGTGTACGGTCCGTCGCAGATGGCCGGTTTGAATGTAAGCAATCTGGTTGCGCTGAAAGACCTGAAGGTAGCGTTTAAACGCACAGCATCTCGATTACGTGAAATGCAGAGCGCTAGATACATCGACGAAAGCATTCGCTGGCGCTGTGAACGCGCAAAACGACTCAAAGAAGTTGTTCAGATTATCAAGAAGTGAGCTGAAGTACTTGTTTATTCAATGGCGTGATGATAGCTCGTATGGTTGGCACAACTAAGTTGACTACCTATCACTTCAATCGACGCGAAGCGTAATGGCACGTTAGCCTTTACAGACTGCCAGAAAAAAAGTCCACGTGAAAATCAAGACAGCGACGAGGAATACCCAACGCACTTTAACGCAACTTGCTTTAACGAGCCTAAGTACACATGATCGTCGACAAGCCGTCGCAAATGCGATGGCTATCGACCTGTTTTGCGTACAGCGGCTACGCCAGCAGAAGCGGAATCTGGTGGGGTGACAACTCCTGATGGAAACATGAAAGAATAGTTGTGGCGGCCTTGGTTGAGTAGTGGGCTGAATAAAGCCGAAACTTGGTCAATACTCACTACTCTACTAGTCTGCAACTTTCGTTTGTGTCCAGAACAAGCTATACACGACCGTTTCAATTTCTTCCTTGTGTTGACGGTTGTGTGTATGCGTCGTACACGCCGATGCTGCTATCGCAAAAACATTCATCGAAGTACTTCCTTCGTACTTCATGTTGGTATCGCACCCAAAGCACACATTGTCAAAAGCCTGTCGTGTCTCTTTCCAATGTGTGATGTAGCGGCATACCGCAGCAACGTACTTGTCGGCACCATTTCATGCTTTCTCGCCTCTTTTGCAAGCCAGCCATAACTGCAAAGAATGAAACGTCCGAGTGATTTTAGCGGAAGCAGCTCGTCTCACCGCTGAGGGCATTCATGTGCATGTCTTGAAAGTTAGCCAGGGGCAGTTGCTGTTGCTGCCAGGAAGCTTGTTGGCCTGAACTCCACTCTCCATTTGTAAACCGATCGACAGAGGGAGCTGATGCTGCGGGAAAGGCATCCCAGGATTTTGTCGTGGTGATTCGTGACAGGGAAGGACTAGGTGCCATGGCCGGACTGCACGGCGACAACTCGTTGGCTGGTCTTTTCGATAACACCGGCGCTGGGAATTCGTCACGCACATATCTGTTGGCGGCAGCGTCTGTAGGCATATTTGCTGTCATCAGCTTTGAAATGCCGCGCGGTGGTCTGTACAGTGACTCGCCTTCATTCGTCGGCAGTGGCATTTGCTTCTCGTTTTCAGGTGAAGACTTCGTAGCAGATTTGTGCTTCCTGTTGTGAGCTGACGCGTGCGAAGGCTCTTCGCCCCCAAATGCTTTACATGATGATTTGTGCACTGTGTCGTAGGTTGAATGGGGAGACATAGCGGCTGCCATGATCGCTGCGGACCCGACACGGTCACCACCTTGCGCAACCGTCATATAATGGCTAAGTACACCATCATCCTCACCTTCTTCTGCACTGTCCTCAATCAACGCGTTCATAAGACCGGTTGCTTCATGCATACGCTCGGCGTACATGGCACGACCTCGTAGCACACGACGAAGCAGTGGTGCCAACGCAGCATCTCGTGACAAGACAAAAGCACGCAGACTACGGATAATTGTATCCGATTGTCGCACGTATTCCTGCGTCGTAGCTGCCAACTTCTGTTCATTGCGAAACATGCGTTCAATTTCCTTGGTCCTTCCGCTTCGACCCATCATCGCTCGCTTCTCGTGTGTTTCACGCAATGCAACCACCTTACGTGAGTAGTGATCGTAGAGTGCTTTCTTCTCCTGAAAGGCCTTCGCTTCGTTCTGGAGGCTACGGGCATGTTGCAGCCAGCTCTTCACGGGAACCAGCATTTCTTGCTCCAGTCGACCATAGGTTTCTCGAAGCACCATTAGATCCACATCCGTACAGGTTACTTGAGCATCGCCAGCAAACTGCTGCATTTCCGAAACTCCAATAGGTTTCTGCTGGTAGCTTGCAGGGTCGGTAGCTCCAGATGACATACAGTCAATAGCGCCAACCACCAAACTTGCCACACCGTGAAAGGTCTTGATCGAGGCGGCGTAATTTCTTAGCATCGAGTCGAGCGTTTCGAGTCGTTCCAGAGTGGACTCGAAGTCTGAGTAGGCCAGATCAAAGGCCACGTTAATACTGGGCTTGGCAGCGCCTAAAGCCGTCATGAGTTTGTTCTTCGTGCGCACACGCAACGATGACATCGTTGTATCTAGGCGTAATTAGTTTTGGGACTCAACCTGCTCTCTGGTAAAGAAAAATATTGATATCCCGAGAGACTAGCCCGAAGACGAATTAGACTCAGACATGATGATCGGGTCTATCAATAGTCCGGACCTTCTAAAGATGTCTAGCGACCTTGGCAACTGGCATTGACTAAAAATACAGGGCAAAATTCAATCTCTTCTCAAAAATTCATCTCCCTCTTCTGCTTGTTGTTTTCTACTTACCTAGTGCCAGCATAGGCTGGTTGGTAATGTATAAACTCCTGTGCGCATTGGGTTTCAAGTGGACAGCTCTTTGCACACGTATAGACAGCTAGCGTTCCCCATTCGCACGTACGTGATGCGATGTCTCCAAGACAGCTTTTCAGGTCCACACTCAGAAAATTTAGCAACTGTGGCAGCACCTGAAACTCAAACTTTCGCTCTCCACCGCACCGTTCGCACGGCGGCACATCGTCCATCTGCATACCTTCCGAGTGTACCCACAGCACGGCCTCATTCTTCCAGCGAGAGTAACGTAGCACCTGATCCTTGGCAATCGCTACGCGCGTCAGGAAGCGCACGTATTGCTCGTCTTGGTCTTTAGTATGGCCTAGTGCCTCATTCACCTCTTGCTGAGTGATATCCAAAGCCGTGCTATCTTCTTCCTGGTTCTTAGCTAAAGCCACAAAGAAACATCATATCGTTAGCCACAGATCATCGATCAATAGCATTACACAAGCAAATGAATCTACGCACTTTTCTCAAACTCCGCAATCATCTTTGCTTCGTATCTGGCACCACAAGTAGCTCATGTCAGTCCATATAATTATATCATACTAACTTTCTCAGCAGCAACGCACTCGTTCGCAGCCTCTCTACAATCTGGTTCATGGTCAATCTCCAGATCTTGTCTAGGAAAGACCCACATAGACCCCTTTTGAATCATCTTCTGCCGCACTTCGTCCCCCTCCACCAACGATTGCACCTCTAAACTGTACTCCACCATCCTCCGTCAGTTATACAAACCAAATGACAACAACTTTATCGAGTCACGCACCATTGTGCACAAGTCTGTTTGTGTCCTCCAGCTATCCAATGGTCCTTCTGATGGTTCTTGCAACAATACTGTGCTACGTGACACGCGCTGCACGTAAATGTCGCGCGTTGTCCACATAGCACACATAAATCCACCTTATTTTCAATTGTCTTGAGCTGCATTGCACCAGGCTCAGCTGCATAAAACACATTGTTCTTGGGCAACTGAAGACGAAAAGCCTTTCCATCGCCTTGGCGACTGCAGCCAGGAGAACGACAGACAAAAACGTACAAACTGCGATGAAAAGCATCCACCTCCTCGTCCAATGGACAATAAATTTGCAGCAAAAAGGACAGTACGTTGTTGCAATTCTCGCATTGTAGTTGCCTAGAAGACGGAATACCCACTAGAGATGGACACAACCAACTGGGACGTCCACCAATTTGTCCGCCATCCCATTTTGTCCAGTCTGGTTCACCGTGCAATGGCTTTGAATCAAGTGACGATGCTTTGTCACCTACAAAACCAAGCTCCACCATAAACTCATCGTCCAGCCCCACGTCATCTTCCGAGTCACTGCTCATGGATACACACACAACTGCAACTTGACACTACAATGGATGGTAGCAGTTTAGTTGATGTGGTGTACATACTTCAGAGGGGTAGGGTTAGTAAACAAATGGATGGTCTCTGTGCCTGCATCAGTTCTATATCGGGTGTAAAAAAATGACTGCATCCAAGACGCTCGTGGTCGCTGGAGCAGGTGTCGTAGGACTTGCAGTGGCCCGTGCAGCTGCTTGTCGAGGAATCGAGGTATTGGTCTTGGAAAGAAATGTACTCGTAGGACAGGAAACCAGTTCGCGCAATAGCGAAGTCATTCATGGTATGTGGTGTAATGTACGTAAACTGAACTATTAATATGTGACAAGTTGTAACGGTTGACGTTGGCGGTATCATGTTGAAGCGGGCATTTACTATGCCAAAAATAGTTGGAAGGCAAAACTCTGCGTTAAAGGCAAAGACATGCTCTACGATTTCTGTCGGGAGTTTCACGTTCCTTTCTTGCAATGTGGTAAACTGATTGTGGCGCAATCGCATCAGTCGGAGCCATTGCGATCGATCCTCAAGTGCGGACTGGCGAATGGTGTGAGTGATTTGAAACTGCTGACGCAAAAAGAGGCACGAGCTCTGGAGCCGCAGATCAAATGCCACGAAGCGGTATTCTCATCATCAACGGGTATTGTGGACTCGCACGCGTTCATGCAGGCGCTACAGGGCCATGCCGAGACGTTTGGTGCGGTTGTGGTGCGAGCGACCGCAGTCCAAGGAGGCAAGTATGATGCAAAATCAAAGACATTTACGATAAGAGCAACACATGACAATGGAGAGGACGATCAGGAGGTGGAGTGCGACTACTTTGTCAACGCTACGGGCATGTTTGCGTCGAATCTTTTAAGGAAGATGGTATTCTCTAATATTGAGCATCCATTATTGCGTCCGCTGCCTTCTGTTCCAGACCAATTCGCCAAGGGCACGTACTTCAAGCTAAGTCCACAAAACCGACCATTTAGGTATGAGAGAACATGTTTTGGATGCTGTAAATATGCAGCTTACGAGCTGGTTTGGATTAATTTGCTTGTTTAGTCATTTGGTTTATCCTATCCCTGAGGTCGGCGGTCTGGGTGTGCATGCGACGGTTGATCTGGCAGGCAATGTTCGTTTTGGACCAGACGTTCAGTGGATTGACAACATCGACTATAATCCTGACCCGTCAAAAGCGGAGGAGTTTGCAGAGAGGATTGGTACATACTGGCCCGAGGTGCGTGCAGAGCTATTGGAAGCTGATTACTGTGGCATTCGACCGAAAATTACAATCAATGGCAAGATTTTCGAGGACTTCTACATCGCGGTGAGCCTTCTTTTGCTTATTATCGTCAGACTCAAAGCGTGTATGTGATAACCTGACTGATTGTATTAACTCTAGGACAAGCATATACACGGTCTACCAGGCTTTGTGCATCTTTGCGGCATCGAGTCACCTGGTCTTACTGCATCGCTTGCTATCGCTGATACTGTTGTCGACATGCTGCAAGACAAAGCATGATCGGTCTCGTTAGATGCACCAGTACCAGGTGAAGTCTTACAAAGCCTTGGCCTTATTAATGACGTAAAAGGTTTTTGACAAGTTTTCGTATTGTGCGGATACTTTGACAGAGCTGTTTGCTGTACTTCATTCATTAGTACTTCTCAAGCTCTTTAACGAGATGACCAAAATCAAATGTACCGTCACCTTCAGCCAGAGCCTAAACATTTTTGCTCAATTCAATAGTCCATGTGTCTCCTCGTCACTACTAGTAAGAGACTCGGCATCACTCGTCTCATTGTCTTCGTCATCTCTGCTCTTTTTTTCGCTACTTTTCTTGCTACGTCTCCGTTTTCTATTCTTGTTCTTCCTTTTTCGACGACAACAAACGAAGTCACTCCACTTGATTTCCTTCTTTTTCTCATAAGTCGGTCCTCCTCCTAGCAATCGGTACAGACACGGTACTAGGAATTCACAGCGACAGAGACATCGGTACAACCACCTCTCTTTTTGTTCATGTGACTTGAGTCCCTGATAAAGTCCTTTTTCTTGTGTTTCGAGTTTCTCATTTAATTCCGCAACTAAGGATCGAGCTTTTAAAGTAGGGACATGCAACATGTCCCTTATATCGTCAATCATGACTGGCATCGCATAGATATCAAGCGTCCAGCGGACAATTGGTTTGGTGTCGCTAGTCCCGTATAATTCTGCATAAAGCGCATATACTTGGGGGTTTACGCCTCGATAATCCGTCGTTAGTTGTAACTTGTCCCTAATACAGAATTTTTCACGATTAAATAAAGAATCGTTGGTTAGGGGACCGGGTCGTTTGGGTGCGATTGCGTCATCATCATCACCAAGCACGTAACTCATCCAAGCATCGAGCCACTTGGTCTCAACCAAGAACCACGCCTCATGGCGACGCAATTCGTTCGAGTCAAAGGCTAGAACCAGCTCACGTTCCTGCTGACGGCGATTAGACGTGAGTGGACGAACAGCCAAGCTGCATTCTATGTCGATAGATTCGTTTTCATTGGGTAAAGACGTCATGGTTCCCAATTTTGAAATGGGGTTTTTTGAAATGGGTACTTTTATGGCAAAGTGCAACATTAGCTTACAGAACATGCGCAACAATCATCATACCGTGCGTGCTTTTCCATGAAAATATAAAATTATAAGAGTATTAACAAAGTGCTTGCTACGTTTGTACACGCAATGTCTTAAAACTTGTCAGTTGCGAATCTATTTTGGTGGAACGTGTTCTTTATTTTACGTTATGATCGTCTGCGAGAAATGGGTGAAACCGGGACGACCAGGTCGTACCTCAAAGAAAGAAAGACCTGAGTCTACTTTTCATCTGAAACATGTGGTGCAACACGTATTGCACGCATCCAACGACGAAGAAATTGTATATCGCGATTGATTTGATGAAGGATGTATAATGCTATGCGAGTGGCGTTCCAACTAGAAAGACCCTGACAATGAAATGGACAGTGTTGGCAGTGATAATGATCACGAACTTAATAACCTTATGCATGTTCCAGCATGCATTAGAGTACTTTAGAACACAGTTGCGAATCTATACAGGACTACAATGCGTTTTGTATGGAATCCAGTAACGAGCCAATATTTGTTTATGATGACGCAGATGGAGAGAGTAAGATCGATAAATCGACATGAAGACCAGTGTCTACGTTTGACGATGAAATGGTGATGCACTAAGCGATGCATGTTCAGTAAATAACAACATTTTATGCCGAAAAGCTAGCAGAGAAGAATTCAAAGGATAACCGCGATCAAGACAAGGATAGAGTAAGAGAAAAATGTGTGGGCATCTCCTGACGATACATATTGCAAATATAGACCGCACAAAATATATCATTTTGTATCTCAGGATGAATGTATAGACACCCTAATGGACTAGATGAAGGGGTCTCAAAGAATTTCGTTTATGATCAAGGTCAGACTATAATGCTTGAAAAGCTGGTTTGCAATAAAGAGCGCGCTCAGGGTGAGTAACATTGGCGCAAACAGTAAGTGCCAATGAGAATATTATCATAGCTGATCAAAGTCTCAGATATATCTTAGCTAATAATAATCAACATTATTACCTTTAAAAATAATTTCCTCGTCGCATTTCTTTGAAGTTCGGGGATGCCCCTCTCATTGACTGATATATGCCATGATAATAGCCAACGCATTGGTCAATGAAGGATGGACGCGCGCAATGAGGAAAGCAAGTAGTTAACATATATACTTACATTGTATAATAGTTAAGACAAGATAAATTACAGATTTAGTCTTGTCTCATATATTTAACTTTACTAAATACAGCTCTCTTTTCTTTAAAAATAAGCGTGTTTTTTAATCACGTAGCTTCATCTTTAGACCTCCTGTGAGTAAGGGTTTGGAGCACCGGCTTACACTGTTTCAGTTTAAGTAAATTATACTGGACGTAAAACGAAGATTGCTTCATTACACTTTTAGCACTTCGTGGTCCTTTAGCGACCAACGACTCATCCGTTATGGAACCAGCGGATGAAGAGCGTCATCACGTAGCGCCTGATGAATTTAGTTTTTTGAGTGATCTCGAATAGCGAGCGGTACACCGTATGGCTAAAACCGTCGGTGATGCCGCCGTCGGTTCCATATTGCTCTCTCTGGTAGAGACGAGCAGCATGCAACCATCACCAAGCTCATTCGACATAAGCTTGACAAAGTGATATAAAATCTCACCTTTTTGCAAAAGAAAGGTGCTCAACAGGATGACCAGTTAAAAAAAGAGGCGCTTAAGAAGCTACCTTGTTAATGCAGCAGTAGTATCAACAGAAGAAACTGTTGAGACAACACAAGGGCTAGTACTTCTTATGCCGATTTAACGCATATACGTCTATTCCAGTCCTCGGAGATTGACGTCTCCCAGTACAAGGCAGTCAAAAGTGAACCCTTTCTGAGATGGTTCGTCGATCGACGATGCCATTGAGGCTCGTCGCATCGATGACGATGCGATGAAAGTTCGCAATGTTAAACTTAGCTGGGCATGCCAAAGCTTGGACCTTAGCCCTCAAGCTGCATGATCCATATGTTTTCCCAACGTATAATGTATCTAAGGCGCGACTCAAATATACGTTCGAACCGCCTCGCGCCGAATATAGGGCTAGTGCTGAAATTCTGCATCTGAAACAGTGAAATCGTAATGTACACGCTTACGCCCAACACGTACGATACCTTGTTAGTTGTATCGTGCTAAAGTAGATCGATGAACACACGCAGTTTACTGTGTTCATCAAGGGGATGACTAATGGTCTTGTCAAGACCCTCCTGTTCCGTGTAGTGGAGAAGAATTCGCAAAATTGCTGATGCGTTTCCAACTCTCCACTGGCGCCCAGACGACCGACTATCGGAGGGGGTACTCAGTTTCCGTGTAAAGCAATTTCTTCCTCACCTTGTGTACCCGTCGGTAGGGCGGGTTGCACTCTTCTCGGTGGACTTGAGTCGATGTTGAACTTGATTTTTTTAGGGATAGGTGGGGGGCGATCGAGTGGAATTCCCCACACGATCGCAGTTGTTCTTGGGGTGCTCTATTTGAGTCGCCCTGATCTCTCTTGAGATCACCTTATCCAATTGGTTGATACTTAATACGCTTACCTTTTGACCACTTGAGCCGTCTCGCGATCTTGTATCTGGACTTGTTAGTCCTCTGCGTCCAATCGCAGCTTGAGTTGTTTTGTTAAGAATTTTTGCAATCCCTGGCCAAACAATCCAGGGATATGACTTTCGTAGTATGTAGACTTCCTTGAGACGTCGGGTGGCCAAAGAATACAGCCCGGAAGAGAAGTCGACACGTGTACTTAGAAGCAAATTAAACTCTGTTTAATGTTAACCAATCAAATACCAAAACCTATGATCTTGACTATCTGTAGCTCAGGATCTGTTTCCACGTATCGCCCTTTCGGAAAAATCAGATCTTGTAATGTGGTCCACTCCAATCTCGCCGCGATCTGGATCGCTACCTCGCTTGGATCTAATACCATTTTAGTATCGGATCGCGGTACTAAATAATTGATATCGGATCGCGGTACTAATAATTAATATCGGATCGCGGTACTAATAATTAATATCGGATCGCGATACTAATAATCAGTATCGGATCGCGATCCGCCGGATCACGACTTGTCCTCTTCACCGTTTCTCAGGTCATGTGAGATGGTCCATCTATATGACATGTCATGTCCACCTCGTTCCAGTCTTCCATAGCGACGTGATCCACACCAGACCGTATTCCACATACCTGGATGTACCCATCCTCCTTCTGAGCGATCGCGTTCACGCGGATCGCCATCGAAAAATACTGGAAATCGCAATTGCGTAGTTTCTAGGCCATATTTGACCCACATAGAACTGCGAACTCCACCATTCACTGTTTTACATCCCATTTGCCATCATCTCGAAACTTTTCTGCGAGATCGCGATTCATCAATATTGGCCATTTCGGACTTAACCGAAAATATGCGATCACACTTCGCCAAATTCACTCCTTCGCTTCGCCACATCCGCTTGGAACTAGAATCTTTCGATCACGCGATCTCTGCAGCATAACAGGAGGAATATAACCTGTAAGGCTCATATTCACATGGAATAATATCGTCCACCAAGACGACAAGAGGGCGGAGATCCAGAGCCAGATGAACTTTTCTATGTAGAGAGCGAGCGACCTCGCTCTCCAGGATACAAGCGATTGCAAAAGTTTAATCGCTGCGAGAAGACGGGCCACTACGCTTATGGGTGTAGTGCTCCACGCCCAGTGTCTCGTAACGCTGGGAGTGACGATCGTCCGTCTGCCAAGAAGGGCCAGAGACGTGGGTCCCGCGTTGCTGCGAAATCGCAACAAAGTGGTGGACCATCAAAAAACGGTCGGGGAGGTGACGGGGCGGAGCGCCCTACTGATCCAGCAACGTCAAGAGAGTTCGCGGGACTCTTGACGAGGGTTGCTCCCAACACACAGTCACTGTGTGTTGCCGCTCCCAGTGATGAGGTATCTCTCATCACCTTGAAGATCGAAGTGACAAAGAACATGTCACTTCGCGCCCTAGTTGATTGTGGGGCTTCGAACAACTTTGTTCGACGCCAATCGCTAGATGATCGTAGGCTCAAATATGTTGAGCGCGAGACCCCTCCAACGAGGATGACGGTGCGCCTTGCAACGGGCGCATCCGTAACAGTAAAGAAACGAGAAGTGAAAATTCACTCTACGCTTGAATGTAAAGAGTACGATAATGATTTCATCGTGCTCGATCTATATGACAAACTTGATGTCACTTTAGGATTACCATGGCTCAGAAGGTACGAGGCATGGGTCAGCTGGCAGCATCGAGCCGTGAAGAAGCCTGCCGCTTCTTCATCAGATGGAAATATGATGAACGTCTTGGAGCGTTCAAAAGCGTACGAGTGAGCAATGGCCTCACTTGTGGTTCGGTCGTTAGTAATACTGCACAATAACTAAGCGTGACGATCAGCCACGTTGTGGAGCAAGCTGCCGGCGGCTGTGCACAAGCACAGGCGGTGCCAAAGGTCCAACACTCGATTAAGTCGAGTGGACCGAAGTGTAATGGGTTACCTTACACACATAGTATTAACATGAATAAACAATTAAATATGTAGGCAGGTGCTGGGCCGAATAGCGGGCACAGCGTGGTAATTTATTATTGGTTCATTATTGGGCCTAAAGTCCCCAATATGGACCAATGATAAATCAACATGAAATTGTGTGGTTCCCGAAAGGCTGGAACACTGTCGTATTTATCACGACTAAAATCTTCGTAATTAGTACGAATTAAAACAAAAATAAAAATCAGAGTTAAATTTACCTAATTCCTCATACTTGGGCTTGAGTCTTCCTCAAGCGCGCGTCTAAGCTAGTGACGGTACGTTCAAGCCCCGTTACACCTGGTAGCACTTCGTAGTTCTTCCTATGCCCGAGTTTGAGATGAGCGAATCGTCGTACTTTAACGCTCCAGATTTATTTCTGGAGCACGCGACCTTCTTCCATC